CCCTCTCTCTCTCTCTCTCTATCTATCTGACAACAAGTCAAAGTGAGCAGGTAAAATTAGCAATGTTTTAGAGTAAAGACTCAAAAGCTGCAATAGAAAATTTGGTTCTAAATAGTATTTAAAGCTCTTTCAACTCAATTAGTTAACTCAATTGATGGGAACTATCAAACCAGTGGCTGTCTTGTGATCTCTTGAAATGCCAAAAGGTTCATTTTCTGGGGGGAGCTTATTACATTTTTGTGATTTCCTTACTGGCAGAAGCAGAATCAAAATACTTAAGCATCATAAGAGTCCCGAATACTTTGCTGATGTTTTGGGAAAGACCTTACCTCGGTACCGGAAAAGGCGACAAGGGATGCCATGTCTGTGAAGGTGGAGGGCGGGTTTTCTGGCTGCAGTAGCCAACTAGCGATAACAGGGTCGTCGAGCTTCTCACAGCGAATGCCTGTTACAGAAAATAAATAGGGCCGTTGGGTATGACGAAGCAATCATCCTATATCAAGAGTCCCACTTCTGCTCTGTTCTTCCATCTCGACAATCACCTCCTACGTTCTTCTGTTTAAACAACACTTAAAGGTACCAGATAAGCTTATGTATTTCCATTAAAGGTTAGACACAACTTGTCATTTGATTGTTTGGTGCCCTTTCGATTTAGCGGTATGTTTCACACATCAGAAATCTTACCTAGTGTAAACGCCTTTCTTTTTCACTGCAAATATGGCTTAAGGTTTACATACTGAATGCGTTTTCAATAGGCCAAGCGCTTCGTGGAGTGCAAAACTCGGAAGCGGTCAGCGGATAAAGTATTCTAGAATGGCAATGTATCAATCAGCACAAAATCAGTCCCATAGCCAATGTGATATCACATGAAATGTTGTCATTACTTAAGCAATCTACCCATGAAGAAACAGACGAAAGTGGAAGCAATTTAGGCCAATATAATGCAAGGATAGCCAGTTATACCATCATTCCTTGATTAGAAGAATCTGAGTATTGCAATAGAGGGTTTCATATCTTTAAAAGAAAACTGCCGCCATTTTCATCATCTCATCATCATCATCATCATCATCATCATCATCATCATCATCATCATCATCATCATCATCATCAATGTTTTTAATATCCCCTCATCTTTATTAACTTTGTTATGTTTGTCAAACCTAAAATAAACATTGAATATTACAAGTTTAGGCAACCCAAGAGATGAAACTTACAATGGTCATTTTCCACTCCAATGTGACGATGTAAAACTATCAAGAAATCTTTGCTGTTCACAATCGTTTTCATGCAGTTCTCGTTGGACAAGCTCTTCAACATTGTCTGCCTGATAAACAAAAGTATACTTATCACAATGAACCCC